GGATGCTCCAAAGGAAATACTAGACCAACGGGAATATGAGGAATTATCAGTATTGACCAATGCAAGTAGATTTCAGGTTTTTATGGGAGAATGAATGATACAACGAGTATTCAAGCAAAGCTTTAGGCGATTTTGAAAGGGCTTGAACTCCTGCTAAGGCGACAAATTACCCATGTCATTGTGAAAAACAACTCACTAGAAGCTGTCAAGCTACTTTCGGTTGATCCAAATGAGGTCCACCCAAGCAGAGCCATCATCAAGAGCTGCAGAAATATGATGGGGACTAACCATAGCCCCATTATCCACACCTTCAGAGAAGGAAACTAATGTACAGACGCTTTGGCTAATCTCGGTGTTCAACAGTTGGAGGCGTTCGTGGAGTTACAAGACCCACCACCCCAAATGTCTAATGTCCTTATGGCTGATATGACCAATATTGTTTATTGTAGGAACTCTATTTAGTTTAGGTATTTTAATTTTCCAATGAATCAAAAAAAAAAACAATGAAAATTTAAATATGCAGCTAAATTTGAGGAAATAAAAAATAAAAAACTTGACTTGGTATATACCTTTCTAACGGAGAATTCAAATTTAAAAGAAGAGAAACTCAAATTTAATAATGACAAATTCAAATTTAAAATAGGATAAAATATAACTATTGGATCTTTAAAGGATGGTGTAATCTCACCATTAAGGATTTGGGTTTTAAAAAGGATCTCCCTTGATTTGTGTTTTAAAAAGGATCTCTCTTGATTTGGGTTTAAAAAAGAGTTTTCTTTCATTTGGTATAAGTATATATCTAGCATTTGAGAAGTATTTTAAATTATTTTTACTCAAATTTAAATTTGGGTATTAAAAAATGTAAGGACTAGAGATGCTCTGAGTTCACATAATTTAAGAATATAATTTAAACAAAAAAATTTGGAGGTCGATCCCCCTATATGGACTTATTTGAACTTAAGTCCACTAAAGATACTTATTTGTTATAAAGTCCATTTTTTGTCAATTTTACCAAACTATCCCTTCCATTTAGGAGTTAAGTAAAACTAAAAATTAAAAACTCCTAAATTTTAGGAGTTTGACTAAAATTAAAAAATTTTCACTCTCATATCTATCTATATACATATATAGGTTACGACTATATCTCTCTCATAGTAACATTAAAAATAAAAAATATTAACATTGAAATAAAAAAAAGTATTTATTTAAACACAAACAATAATATATTTAAATACAAAAAAATAGTAAGTAACATTCAATATTAATATTTTAAAAAAAATAACAATAATAACATGTTTAACAAAAATAGTAACATATTCAACAAAAATAGTAATATGCTTAAAAAAACAGTAACATGCTTAACAAAAACAGTAATATGTTGAACAAACAAAAAAAATAGCAATACGGAATATTAAACAAAATGGAAAATAAAAAAAGTAGCATTCAAACTCATAACCAGAGGAAGAAACTTTCAGTTCTTCAGCAAAAAAAAAAAAAGAGTAACATGGTCAATTAGAAAAATTAGTAGCATAATCAACAAAAAATGTAGTAACATAAAACATTAAAAAAATTTGGAGATTATTTATAAAAAAAATAAAAATAAAATTGGGGATTAAACTAATAGCACATTGAGCAAATTTTTTAACATTTTTTTTTCCCGAAAATCAACGATATAGAAATTCATGATGACCAAAACGTAGTAGAAGATATAATAGTTGTTGATAATGTTCCAAACCCTACTGATTTTGATATTATGGAGGAAGAAATGATATCTAAGGCAAAATATTTGTTGTATTTGAGTGATGATCTTCTTCTAACGAGAGAGAGACAAAGAAAGAGAGAGAAAGAGAGAATATAAATTTGAATTTCAATTTAGGAGTGAATTAAAGAATAATAATTTTTAATTTAAGAAATTAATTTAAAGCTATTTTCAATGTCTTTAAGATTTTTATAATTAAACAGAATAACACTATTAAAGGTATTTTTTGGAATTTAAAAAAATAGTGGATTTAAGTACTTATCAGTAAGATAAAAAACAAATTTATCATCAAATAAATTTCCTTGACAGACTCAAGTCATTATAAGTCTATCTAGGAGGACTCAGCCCCAATTTTCACATTTAAAAACTTAATACATTATGACTATTGAATCCAAAATATAATACATTTAATGTTAGGACTCAATGATAATCTAATGGTTATAATCATTAACTATTTAAATTATGACTCAATAACATTACTCAGATTAATATGTGGTGATTGCATTGTATATCAGCTCTCCAAATCAAGAACTCAAATATATATTAAAAAATATTTGTCGAAAGCAGTGTTATCATAACCGGATCAGACCGGTTGTACCGTGAATTGGGATCTAAAACTGTCCAGTTCTTTAGTTTGACCGTCTAAGGAATCGAATCGGTGAGAAACTGAAAAATCGGCCAATTTTTTCCAAAACCGGTGAACTGAAGATTCTTAATGGTTCAAAACAATACCAACCCATTTGTCTTCGTCATCATCTTCTCCGGCTGGTTCAAAAAGATTTCAGCCCTTCCGTCTTCGTCTTTAATGTTTACATATCTAACTCGAATAGTGGCCACACCATAGATCCCAAATTTAATCAAAAATTTCAGTATACTATACACTATACACTACACACTACACACACAACAATTTTTATTGTGATTGTGACCAAACGATTGAACCATTGAACTATTGACCCGCTCACTTTACTGGTTTTATGTCCGATCCAATTCTGATAACATTAGTTAAAAGTTTACTTATCTATATTACTTATAAATGTCAGTATCTAAAAAAAAAAATTACTTTTCAATTTTTCTCCTAATTATTATAATAAAGTCAAGTATACTCACATATATACTTTCATCTCATTTTTGTTTTTTCTACTCCTATTTTCCTTTTAACTTATTTTGGATTTTTTTATAAGCACTTTTAAATTCTTTTGAACTTATTTATTAGTAGTATAGTTACATACAATCTTCTATATTTATATGAAAAAATAACATATATAGGATTTGATTGAATTTTACGGTCAAATATGTTATATTTTATTTTTTAGCATGCAATAATATAATAATATTGTAAACGATCTAATCAATCTATTTATTAAAATAAAAATTAATAATTTTATAATATAATTAGACGTGTAAATGCCTAAAAGTGTCGTAGATATACCTACATAAATGATAGATTAGATACTTAAAAGACTTATAGAATAAAATAATAATTAAATTAAGAATTAATTATTCAACCCCTAATTTATTATTTAATTTAATTACATATATAATTCATATTTTTTATAAAAAATATTATTTAAATTAATTACTAGTTTATTTAGAAATTGCTAGTATATATACATTTACAAATCCAATCCAACAATAAAAACTTGACGAGACTGGGATGCTGTGAAGCATGGATGCTTCGTTAAAGTTGACGTACCCGTATCTGATACCGTATTGAATACGATACTCGTCGGATACTCGAGGATACGTATCGGATACACCTTTTACGAATCCGATAATAATTAAATATTATGATACTTCACGGATACTTTTGTGGTCGAACAATATATATAATTTTTTAGTTAAACTTTTAACATCTATTTTCGAATTCACATACCATACAATACATTAACAAAAAATTCATATTACTTCAAAGGCACATGAGTGTTTCTTAAGTATTATCTACAATTACATGTCAAAAGAATATAAAATAAAGTTATTATATTATTATCTTAGTAAAAATTATTCTAAATACTAAGTAAATATTAGCTTTGATTTATCTAATTAGTCACTTTACTTTGTGAATATACTATAGCGATGCGATATATATTTTCTTGAAACTAAAAAAAATTACTAATTTTCCTTATTGTATATTAAAAAACTACCAAAATATATAAGTATTAAATTGGTTGAAAATAATAAAAATATTTTATTTTAGTCGTATATCAGCCGTACTCGTATCCTATTTTTTTAGATCTTGTCGTATTATCGTATCCGTATCGTATTATACCCGTATTCTATATCTGTATCCGTGCTTCATAGCTGAGATGTGTAGAATTAACTAGAGCCAGTAGGCCGTTGAATCCGGCTGCCATAGTTAATGTGAAAAAAATAATTTTTAAAGGTAAAAATTAAAAGATTTTAAAATCTTTCAAGGTATAAAATATAGGATTAATTATATTAGAGGTTTTTAAAGTATAAAATTTGTCTCATTTTAGTTTATAATATTTTAATTACATTATTTTGGCCTCTAAAAAAATGAATATATTTTTATGTCATCCATTAAGCAGAAAATATCTAAATTATTTATAATTTTTTATTATAAACTTGTCACATGATATTTAAATATAAACAAAAAATAAGTTAGATAGCTCTTGACCAAAATTTGGATAATTCTCGACAAAAAAAATGTAATATGGGTAATTATTTTTAATTAAAATTTAAATAATTTATGATCAAAACTTTATAATTTGAATAGATCTTTTACCAAAATTTAGGTAAAAATTGAAGAGTTATTTAAATTATTTTTTTATCTATATTTACATATTATACGATAAATTTATAATAAAAAGTTATTAATAATCTAAATATTATTTACGAGGTTATATAAAAATATTTAATACTTCAAACATTAAAATTTCATCCTTTTAAGGCCTACGGTGTAATTAACCCCTAAAATATAATTCTCCCTTTATCTTTGGAGCTTTGCCATAATCGTCGACGAAGACGCCTTTTTCAAACGAAAGGGACGGGCAAGTGCATTAATACAGCAAAATAGCAGAAGGAAAATGTTGTACGAAGGGGGATAAGCCAGCAGCCAAACACAAAAGACACCAACCAACCATACAAAGTCTCCATGTAACACTTACTGTCAGTAAATCAGTTTGGTTGTTGAAAAAACACACTGTTCTTTACCTTAACATCCATGGAAATCAAGATTTCAAACTAGGGATCAAACAAGGGGTTTGAGACTACTTTGAACATGCTGGGAAAAGGGTTTCTCATCGTTTTGTTTTTAGTGATTGGAGTTCTTGCAACGACGCCGTTTGCCGCCAATGTGACGTACGATCACCGAGCGTTGGTCATCGACGGAAGGCGGAGGCTCTTGATTTCCGGCGCCATTCATTATCCTCGCAGCACCCCCGACGTTTGTCTCTCTCTCTCTCTCTCTCTCTGAATGTGTTTTTTCTGTGAATAAATATTGTATGTATATACAAATTGGTGCAGATGTGGCCGGACCTTATTCAGAAATCAAAAGACGGAGGCTTGGATGTAATCGACACTTACGTTTTCTGGAACTTGCATGAACCAGTTCGAAACCAGGTTTCGTTTCACATTTGTTGCGGATCGCTTAATTTTGGTTTTAGCTTTGTTTCGGTGCCGATTAAATTAGGAAAATAAAACAAAAATGGAGTTTTTAATTTTGTTTGATATTTTACTGATCTAAGCCAAGTTTTTAAAGACTTTACAGTTCCTTTGCCTCTGTTATTTGGGGGTCATAT